AATTAGTATTCCTCGAGCCTTAAGATGACCCATCATCATCCTATATCCTGTATTTGGATGATAACCGAGGATCTCGCGAACAGTGGCGTCCAGATCATCATCAGTAGTGGCATTATTCAGATCAGACACCCTACAAAGAAGTTTCAGAGACGCGTTAAAGGAGCTTTATAGCTTATTTCCAACAACATATATAATTATTGTAAATGGGTCTTTGCCTGCTCGCAACCCATTTCACAGTTAGCTTAGCTGCATACAAACACAGTCCAGTTATGTAGGCCTGTTAATGTGTTATCTCCTACCTTATGCCATACTGGGCCATTCGACGGTAGATAGTTCTTTCACCAACTCCAAGCAGATGAGCAATATCACGAACTGTTACACCGGCTAAGACATAATCCTGCAGGGCTTCCAAAGATATGTTGAATGCCGGGCGCCCAAGCTCAGCCACACTGCTCGCAGAACTCCGTTCGACCTCAAGGCTCAGTCTCTGGGAAGCTTCATTCAGTAGGTCAAAAACTACCGTGTCTATGTCTCTGCCCGTATTGTCAGATAAACTCAACAAGTTTTCCCGAATCAAATCAATTTGAAACACCATGAAGTCTGGTGTAAAACTTTCTGAATTGTCCGCAAGATGCCTTACATTGTTTGCTATCTGTCGAAGATCCATTGCTAATGCTAGCTAGGCCGTGATGCATTGCTGTAGCATTCACCCAGGGGCTAGACAAGAAGAATCGATCAGGAAACTCTTCACAGATTGACCAATGACTGTGCAGTGACACAATTAAGACACGCCCCCTCATTTGCCTACACTCAGCGAAAAAGAAAAAGAAAAACCGTTTGAGAAAAGGAAAAGCAAATGATTACATTTATTTCCTAAATGATTACATTTATTTCCTTTGTCATTTATATTTGATTATGGCAGTTTTGGTACTCCATAGAGCCACAACTGTAGACTGTGAACATAAATAGCAGACCTAACAATAAGTACCAAGAAGGTGATAAACCAAACACATGAGGGAGTCAAACCAGAGTTTATTAAATCAAAGTCCAAAGGACATGGAGGAGGCATGAGGACTGGGAAACCGGGCAGGTGATGCAGGAGCAAAATATGGTGCAGAACGTGAGGGAGGCTAGTAATAAAGGAGATGAAGGACAGGAGAAAGACAGAGTGTGTAACACAGACAAACCAACAACCAGAAGGGGGGAACTGATAAGAGTATAAGGGCTGAACCATGGAGGCAAACAACAGGTGGAGACAATATGTGACCATCATTTGTATTGTTAAGCTGAAGCTGGTGAGAAGGCAAGAGAGAGGAAACATCTACAAAATAAAAGCCTGAAAAAGGAAGATAAACTAAAACCATGACAGATAGGGTATGGCCCACAGTACAGTTTATTAGACTTTGATGCAGATCTGTATCACAATTTGGATATAGGAATTTTTAAAAATGATTATTCACCATTGTGAGTGCTGGAAAGGCTGTTGCCCCCTTGTGGCCAAAGTGTGCAGCTGCGCTGCTGAGCACTCGGAGCACATAGGGAGACAAATCCCTGGGCCAGTGACAGCACCCATCCACTGTCAATGGAAACAGAGTGCTGTCACTCAGTAGACCCTGCTGTGTGAGATGGGGACCGAAGGAGCCCAGCAAGGCGACAGCCCTCAGCTGGGGAGTGATTGACTCTCTAGGGTGAGAGATTTGGAGCCAGGCTCAAAGCTGTTATTTTCATTCGTAGGACTGGTATTATGCCCTTTTTATGAAATTTTGACATGTTTTTCAGGTGACAAAGTAACCACTTAGACTGAGAATATGTGCTATCCAAGTAATGCCAATTAAGAAATTTATTCTGACATTTTTTGGAGATGTATTATCTGACCGAGCACAGTACATGCTGGTTTTCAAGCTACACATTATAGCTGTGTTCCCACTTTCAGAACCTAACAAGTGGCACATCCTGTGCCTCAGTTAACCTCACAGATTGATGTGGACTGTCCTACTTTGCTTTTCCACTATATTTTTCACTGTCTATCTCTGCTTAAAGGAGAGAGGGGCTGCGCTCCTCTCTCTCTCACACACACACATACACACACAGCTGAGCAGAGGACATGAAGGATCACTCCACAGTGCAACCATCAGCCAGTAACAGAGACTGTATGAGCAGTTTGTCAAACACCTGCTGAAGAAGCAGCACAAACTCACAAAAATGTGACATCTTCACCTCTGAAGTCCTCGTTTTACCCCTAAACCAACAAGTGAATGTTTGTTGTATTTATTATTTTTCTTGAATAACTGTCAAACTCATAATGACATGGTTTAACTTGTTGTTCTATACTGTTTTATTTTGATGAAACTTTTTATTGCTAGGATTTTATAAACCTGTGTTTTTGGATTGATTGTTTTTAGTATTTTTTAGTTGATACATATGTTCCACTGTGCAGCACTTTGTGCTCTTCGGAGTTGTAAAGTGCTATATAAATAAAGTTTATTATTATTATTATATTATTATAATGACATCAGTGTCATTCCAAATGCAAGTTGTAAGTTTTCATGGTCAAACAATGTTATTATGGGTTCAAACGTTCATGGGAATATTGCTTTTATGTAGTGATGTTCCCTCTGATATCGAGGCTCCGAAGCTTGCTTCAAACTCGGAAGGATATTTTTCTGAAGCACTGTGCCGGAGCTTGCATCAAATCAGGAAAAAACCGCGTGATTGATGACGTTCGAACCACTTCTGCTTCATCCACATTGAATCAGCTGACTAGTTTGGTTCAACAGGTGGAGCTTTGAAACATTGGCCTAATACAGATGTATTTAGGATGGATGAAACATCGCTCTGTCTTACCTCTTGTCAACACATTTTGGATTGCCTCGCTATGGCGCCATCAAGGAAACAGTTACAAGTGTGGGAACATTTTGAATTGGTGCCACCGAATAAGAGAAATTATATTTCCAAGATTCCAGCCTTATTGTCAAGTCTGTTATTCATACAATGGATATTCAAGTTTATGGTCCCCTCCGAATAAACACAGGAAGAATAAATCACACACTGATCTCATTGTGATTTCATAGGTAAGGTGTTTGCGCTGTCCTCAGCATCTGATGTATAACACGTCATCAATGCCTGTTAATGCTACCAGGATGACGTGTCCATCCGCTAAGTATGTGTGTGAGATGTGTGTACGCAGTCAGTGACAGAGCCGCTCTGTCACACAACCTAAACACGGTTTATACTGTTATACTTATAACACTTGGCTTTCACAATCCAGCCAATGCTGATGCAGCTGTGCGCCGCCTGAAGACAGTGTGCTGCCTTAATCCAAAACGCACCTCATGACGACGTACCATCAACATCATCAACACTGGCACAGCCAGAACCTGCTGCGGCTTCCAATGGTACACCATTAATCACATTTGTATTTATATATTTATTTGTAATTAAATGTTTTATAAATGTCCTGTAATGTTTTATTTTCAGGCATTGACCTGTGGAAGCTTCTTGACAAAGATGCAGAAGATGCCAGAAAATCTCAGAACACTACTGCAGATTCCATTGTGGAGGTTCGGTGATATCTGTCTGCTCCTACTCTGGACAAATCACAGGACCCCTTAGGTTACTGGTTGACGCGCAAATCCCTGTACCCACACCTGTTCAACCTGGCCAAACATTTCCTGGTGACACCAGCATCTTCTGTGCCGTGTGAAAAGGTCTTCTGCAAAGCTGGGGAAGTTGTCTCAATAAAAGCAAAATCGCCTAAAACCATCCACTGTGGAGACACTTTTTTTTATTTTTTTTTATAAAAATCCCTGAGTCACACAAGCACACCCAGTGTACACCAAGCACAATCAGAACACATAATATATATTATATTGTCATAATATTAATTCCATCCACAGCCACATTGAACCCTGTAAATATTTGCTCTGCCCAGTGTGTCATTTGGGATGAATAATTGTAAATCCATTTCATATTCTTAAAAGTTCTTATGGAAGGAGTATTACTTCAACATTCAACATTTCATTTCAGATACTTTATAAGGCAAGGAAGAAAAACAGACACGTAAAATGAAGTTAGATTTCAGCTTTATTTAGGTAATTTCCACATTACAACAAAACTCAGTGCACACGCAAGGTGCATCAGCGTCACCTTCGCAAGACTGTACAACAACCAGTGCGCCAGTAGATGTCACCCGCGTGCTCAATGAATAAAGCTTTGAGTAGTGAACCAATTTTCAGTACAATGGTCCAAAAGGGTTCAAAGCTTCATGGGGCCTCATATGGCCATTACTACTTTTATGGCATCTTGGCAACACTACACTTTCTGAGTGCTGTCTAGTTTTACTGTTTTTTTCTGTGTAAGTGCATAGAGGAAC